TAGGGCAAAAAAGTGTGTTTTCGCTTTGTCAAAAATGTCTATGGTCAAAATGGATGATTGACTGAATGTAAACAATAACAAGCTTTCTAAAACCGGAAGAAATGTAAAAAACTTCCGGTGTATCCCTCCGCTTGTGTTATACTTACGAAGCGATGTTTCAAAAGACTTAATATTCTAGGAAGTTTCGTTATTGTGATTTGTGCATCGTCTGTTAATATTGTGTTTTCCTATTTTGTAATAAAAGATAATTTTTATATAGGGATTTCTTTAATAAATCCATATCAATCGAAGCACAGTTACTACACTGGCGCAGTCGACGGGATTATTTTCTTTTTTTTGGATTTATTTGAATAATAATTATATTCGATTTAAAACTGTTCTTGTTGATAGTTAAAAGATTTCGTTCCTTGCGTGAGGCAAGAAAGAAGATTTGTTGACTATTGCTATCGAAATGGGCGTTGAGAACTCCGAAAATTTGAAATTATTTGAACTTAAAATATGCAGAGTAGAAAATGAAAATTACGAGGAGGATTTTGTGACAGAATTCTTGAGTTCACTCATGGAAGAAAGAAAAAGTAAATTAGAAAATAAGAACTAAAAACGTCATGATAAATTAGAAGAAAGTACGAGGAAGAAAGGAGCTGAAATAATAAAAAGAAACTCAAGAAATAGAAGCCTGACGAAGAAAACGAACTCAAATAAATTTTAAATTAAAAAAATTGCGTCCACCAAATGGAACACAAAACGTAGTGAAAACGAGAGGAACGAAAAAAATCTAATGAAACCGAAATTGGAACTTCATAATATTCTACAAAAGGTCGATCCGAAAGTCAATGATATCAGTTTATATCTGGTATTGTTCGAGAGACAAGCGAAACGAGTCGGTATAAAAAAAGAACTGTGGGTATCAGCTTCGATAGGATTACTGCCATACGATGTCGTCCAAATTATCCGAGAGAAGAAGAAGAAACCACAGATGATTGCAGTTAAATAAAATAATTCTTGTTAAACCACTTGAATGACTTAATTCGAACAATAATTAGAATCTCTTGATTTTATCACTGTTCTAAATCCCTCGATTAAGTGATCTGAATCAATCGATTCAAACAAGAATCAAACTAGATTCAATCGATTCAAAGAAGAAAAACTGAATCAAGTGATTTTGAATAACATCCGAGCACATGATTCGAATCCTGAATTTTGATGTGATCTGAGTAATCTCAAATATTTGAGCGAAATCGGTCAAATAGTGTGTATTGCTATGTTAAATTAAATTCTTTTAAATTATGTTAAAAATTGTACACCTTACAATTTAAAATATTTTCGACTAATAATAAATAAAATAATGAGAAATAATAGATGTTTACAAAAGTTTTTTTTGTTGCTTTTTTGCATGGAATTATCTTTGAATCAACGGAATTTATAATTGTTTACAACAATTTTTCAATTTGTTTAAAAAAAACTCTTGAGCTATGGTGTAATGCTCAAAATGTAAAATAAACATTGAGTTGTCTTCTTGGACTGCTCTCCTCTCATAACTAAGGGGGACTATATTTTCCAGATTGCGACAACCCCCTATATTTTGGGGATCAAAAATTCGAATCCATAAGAAAAAGGGTATGTTTATTCAGAGAAAGTACGTTTTCGTGTATGATTTCACAACTTTAAATATCATCTTCACGTCAAGAGCATGGTATAAAAATAAAAAGGATAAAAGTAAATTCTTTCAAAGTGAAATTGAGTTTTTAGGATTTAAGATTAGTTTTAAGGAACTTTTAAAGACATAAGAAAACACCGCTGTAATTAAAAATGTGCCAGAGGTTCAGTCATTTATGGGTCTCGTGAAATTTTACTCAAGATTTTATAAAGACTTAGCAGCTTTAGCCCATCCTTTATACAACTTAAACAAGAAAACCGTTACTGGGAAATGGGATCGCACTTGTCAGGAAATTTTCGAAAATGCATCAAGCGAAATTTGCTCTGACGAAATACTAACTCATTATGATCCAAACCTTCCTATTTTGTTATCTTCTGTATGGTTGGAAGCAGTACTTTTTCATAAATTCCCAGATGGTTCAGAAAGACCCATATCATTTGACTCCAGCGGAGCAACGTTAATTTCAAATTGACAGCGAAGCTTAGGCAATCGTCGATTAAGCAATTGTAGTGTTACCTCTACTTAAAGGGAAATATATTCATTTCGGTTACTGACCCCCAGCCCCTGGTTTCCACCTTTTCATGTAAAGAAAAGTTCTCCTAGCGCTTTCTGCAGCAAGACTTTTATATTTTCTTGTTCTATATTTTTATATCGTTTACCTCAATACTAAGAACCACGGCAATGCTGACTGTTTATAGCGTTTACCATTAAAATCTGGAAAAAAAGATGATATTGCAATGTACCTAATTTTTCAAATTGAGACTTTACCCATTATCGCCAAAGATGTAGCAAAAGACACTCAGTTCGAAGAACATTTGATAAAACTTTTGAAAATACTGCAGTATGGACGTCAGTTCGAAGGGAAAGAAAAGTATACTTTACAGGATGGGTGCATTACATATGAGCAACAAGTTTGTTTTCCAGACTGCTACAAAGAAAAATATTAGACGAGTTGCATTATAGGCATCTTGGAGTATTAAAAATAAAAATAATTGCTAGGTGGTACGTGTACTGGCAAAACATCAATCAAGACATAGAAATTCTGCAAAAAACTGTTAGGACTGTGCTAGGTTTGAGCGGACCCAGCAAAAGCAAAAGTTTATCATTGCGAATATCCCAGTATGCCACGGGAAAGAATGTATATTGATTTCGCAGTGCCTATATTTGCGCTGATGTTCCTACTCATCGTTGTATATCATTAAAATAAATGGCTTTAAGTTTACCCTATGAACATAGCCAACTCGTTCAAGACAATTTAATGCATTCGAGATTGTTTTTCACGTTTTGTAGTTTTAGTTTCCGACAACGGCACTCAATTCACTTCCTAAGAGTTCCAAACATTTATTTGAAGCAATGGCGCTAAGCATAAGACATGCGCCCCTTTCAAACCATCCAGCAATGGACAAGCAGAGCGCTACGTGCATACATTAAAACAATCTCTCCGTGCCATGCAGAACTTTGCAGGAAATATCCAGCAAAAGGTTAGCACCTTCCTCATGCAATATCGCAAGGCTCCTAATATGACAACTATGATTAGTCCGGCTATGCTTTTCCTTAAGAGAGACATNGAAAAACCTGTATACTTTCCAAGATCGCATCTTCACGAAGGGGCGAAGGGGCTATTCGAGACTATCGTTCACCCAACTCAAGGTGGAAATTTGATCAGTTATGAGCAAATATGGAATTCTTCATTGCACATTTAATATGGATAAGACTGTTCACGTTCCATGAATAAGTTTTAGCGGTGAAACTCAACACATCTGCACTTCATTGATCCTGGTTGCGGTATCCAAAAACACTCCGGACCAGTCCTACCTACACAGGAAACTCGCCAATTATCTCTTACCAAGAAATCAAGCCCAGCTGCTTTGACGAGAAGTACACCATCTTCAACACTCAACGAATTCCACTTCAACGCAAACGAATTTAGACTTTCCCTCTTACTATTCGGAAAGTTTCAGTTTCACTTTAAATTCTTCACCTGCTAGTCGCGATCGTAACTTTTTAATACGCTATCTCGAGAAAAGACCAGCTCCATGGCTTGCCCCTACCTTTCCTTTTCTCCGTGGTACAGGGATGTACCAAGATATTTTCCCTTCTCTTAATATTTTTCGTATTTAATTGTCGTCCCGCAATGGACTGATCGTTAGGACACGGTTCCCAGAAGATCACCGAAGTCAAGCATCACTGAGTGCGGTCAGTGTGCGGGTGGGTGACCACTTGTATCAGTCTGTGTAGGGACCGAGGGTGTGCGGTATTGGTCCTCGTTAAACTGTTCTACCGTAAAGTGCTCGACTTCACGTGCAGGTCGTCGGGCTACCGAAGAAGGGGTGGCATCCCCTCTGCAGAGGATCAAAATTGTGATGGCATGTCTTCGGATCATCCTCAGCAATGTTTCCCAGATTGTCGCCAATAGCCCATTGTACAGCTCTAGTGCGACGTAAATGAACAAATCAATCAATATTTAATTGTTAAAAATATTTCTTAAACTTTCCACGACCCTTTCTTTTAGAACTATGGTCGATGCAGTTTTCAGTTCTATATATTTTCGTAACTGAAGAGTTTTCTATATATTTAAAAATCTAGACAGGAACTAACGTACTTCCTTCTCTTATGCACTCCATATGATTATGATAAAAGTATGTGAAGTTGCGAAGTGTTGCCATTGAATTCTGTTCTTCGTCACCTGTAGCCTATTTTGATCGCCAAATGCGTTAAGACGCATCTTCTGTATTCTAAATTTTAATTGTTTTAAATTGTTCTTGTTAAATATAGGAATGTTCATTCTAAAACCCCTAGCTAAAGGAACATTACAGCAGTATTTCAAGCTTCGATGTTTTAGTCAATGGGAAGTTTTAGCAGTTTTTTTTTTTTTTGTTGGCGAATTTGAGATGAATTAATTATAGACTATTTTAACCTTCATCTATCAAAAGATACCTCAAGATAGATTATATACTAGTGATTTGGTATTTAATATTTGTAGTGGTAGTTACGCCACAACTTTTTACCTCTAGTGCCATCTGTGCTTAGCGTTACGTGGTCAACCCAAAGAACTGTCAAAATGGGATACAGGTGGCCTAGATCAGAACTTTCTACCCATGGCAACACTTCTGATACTCTCACCATTAGCGTGTGGAGACCATAGAGTATGACGGATAGACTATGGTGGAGACTCATAGATGAAGAAGTATATTAGTTTCTGTCTTGATTTTCGTATAGATTAAAATCTTAAGTTGGAAAACTATATGGAACGGAAAACTACCTTAAACATAGTTCTAAAAGAAAGTATCATGGAATTTAAAGAAAATATTAGTATTAATTGGAAAAGAAAAATATTGAGAAAAGGAAAAATATCGTAGTAAATTCCTATACAACCGAAAAGAGGAGGCAAATGAAGGGAGAAGGACCAAAGACATGGAACCGGTCATCTCCCTAGATGGCGCAGTCGAGAGTTGCGATCGCTTATTCATTCAGACATCTTATCTACAACTCAACTACACTAAAGCCATTTTTTTAAATCCATGTTATAGAAATGATGGAGTTATGTATTTCATGAAAGTTCTAAGTTTTGTGCTGCGTTGGTTCCTTTAGCTTAAGAGCTAAATTTAATTTCTTCCATGAAATTATGTCTTTGCGTTTAGTAGACTATTCTTCAGATGAAGAACAGAGTTTCGACGAAATAAATAAAACTGTAAATGACTCATCTAAGGAAAATGTTGAGAACACTTCGAAAGGGGTGACGTCAGTGCATTTTTTAAAGTTTTCTTACAAAAAAAATTGTCTGTAGTATTTTACTTAAAACTATCATTTCTGTTCAATTTACGTAATTCAAGTTTACTTTATGAATATGTCGCAGTAATATTTCCGTTTTTAAGGTGTTCTATATGATGTCACCTACTAGTATAGGTTTCATAATGTTTTGTTATTCTATATCAGGGGTGGCGAACCTTTATGCACCAACGTGCCATTTTCTCCTAAAAATTGCTTAATGAGGTCATAGACGTGCCGTCAAATAATTTTGACTTCGTGATGGGAAAATAATAATACTAAATACTATCAACTCAAAACTCTTTGTTTACATTGAAATAAAATAAATTTTGCAATGTCTCAGTTATACAAGTAATTCAACTTAATGTAACATCAATGTGACTTCTGTTGTTGCAGATTAGATGACCAATAACTTATATTAGGTTCTAAGATGTTAGTTTAAGCAGGACTGTTGATTTTTTTTGCTAGTTATTTCTTGTTAGATTGTTTTTTACGGTTATTAATTGTTCTTTAGCATTAATTTTTTTATTAATAATTGTTTAATATTTTGTTTGTTTTTCGTGAATTTTAATTAATTGTTACATATGTTTCATAGCGTAATAATATTTGTGTAATAACAATTCATAGTGTAACAACAATTGTGATCAGTGGAGTGCCCAAAATATTGTGTCGCGTGCCATTGGTTCGCCATCCCTGTTCTATATTATCTATCAGGGGTCAATAAGAATTTTTGAAGCCGTCACGAAAAATTGCTGAAACGCTTTTTGTGTTCATGTTTTTAATACTAGTTAAAATGAGGTTTTAAATAGTTATTTTGTTACATAAGAAATATATTGGGTGACCTGGGTTAGTTCCTGATCAAAAAATGCAAACACCCATTTTGTGAAAAAACTATTCAAGACAGAATTTTAATATTTACTGGAAGTTTGAGGCCATATGAGATCAGTCCTTTGCTACCTTCTTTTGTTTGAAAATCTAATTATAATTTTAAATTTTTAGTGTTCAGGAATTACCCTTTCTCTTGATCAATTCTGGGGTAATTATTGATCACCAGTTTTTATTGTAAATGGGCTGTTTAAAAATAATTATACAATGGTAATTAACTAATAAGACATTAAGATCAAACAAATAAACCAAAAAGATATGTTTAAGCAGCTAATAAAATGTTTTATTTAAAATCTGGAATAAAGATTAACACTTCAGCTCTCGCACTGAAATTTTCAATCATTAAAAGAAATTCGCTATTTTTGCTTTCTAGAAGCTTAATATCCTTTTTAAGCTTATAATCTCTCACCATATTTATATTAGGTTAATTTATCAACTTAAAAATTATTCCAACAATGTAGACACATAAAATTAAGATAGAAGCAAGGTAAGACAAGCTAGAAATGGTGCATAGAACAAATTTTTCTTGTATACAGTTAAAAACAAATTTTGTGAGTATAGTTAAAATATATTTTATAGTTGTTCCACTTGATAAATATGAACTATTATTTAAGAAAAGACAATTAGCTATTAATTAGCAATTTTTTATACTATTTATAAGAAAAAATGACATTGATCAGGAATTACCCCAGTGATCAATAATTACCCCATCTGTAGGGAGCAACATTTGATGTAATTTCCTATAATCAATTATAATGTTTACAGTAGATGTGAAATAATTAAGCAAAAGCCTACACTATTTTTATATCAAAGAAAAAGAAAGTTACTCAAAATATTTATTATTAAGAGAAGAAGGGGGATCTTAACAGAAATGTGTACATTTTGAAACCCACCTTCAAAATGGAAAATACAGGAAGCATTTTAAAAGATACTTATTTTGTTAGATTAAACAAAAAACTATTATTAAGTAAATGTAGCTATACTTTAGTAAAGTTTACGAGCATTCTTGTCCATGTCTCAAATTTAAAAAAAAAAAAAAAATTTTTAAATAAAACTTGGGTGATTATTATTCACCCCAGAAACAGAGTGATCCTGAATCACCCCGGGTCACCCTATTGAGTTATTAGTCTTGTCATTTTGAAAAGTAAGTGAATTTGGCAGAATGTTACAATTAATTCATTATTAATTACAAATTTGTTATTGAAGTATTTGGAGAGAAATTTTTTTACTTTTAATCTGGTAGAATTTTTCTAAAAGTAAATACTAAATTTATATTTTCCTTTTGATTTTCTAGACACATTTTAGTTATTACAGTTTATATTTATTTATAGTTTTCTATAGACATTGTCAATATGTAATTTGTCTTTGAAATTTGTATTTTCTTTTATTATAGAGAACCTCTTCCATTGCCTTTTGAAATTCAAGATATGTTTAGTAATAATGTCAATCACACAGAAGATCCATCTAAACATGGTGGGAAGATAAGATCTTTTCCTCATGAAAGGGGTGTTTGGGCTACACATGTATTTATTGAATGTAAGTTAAATACTTCCTTGTTTTCTAGTTTTTGAATTTTAAAAAATGTTCAATTTGTCTCTAAATGTTCAAAACTATGACATCAGTCACAGAACAATTTATGACTGAGTCTCAATGAAAGTTTATGTGCTGTTGGTACAATAAAAAATAATATATATAGATATATAAGAAGAAAAAAAATTAAGTGTCATATATATTTTGATGGCAGAAGGTTGCTTTTAAATTGTGAAGGAAGGAAAATGAGGCATTGGTCAAAATAACTCACTTAAATGAGTGCCTCATTTAACTAATTGGCATTGAAGTGAGTGGCAAGATTTCAAAAAATATAAATTTTCTTTTTTTCACAAAAATATTTTATCTAGATGTTTAGCTTTTTATTTTTGTATGTGTCCAAAGTATCCGAATTTTTAAGAATATGAAAATTATTTAAAAACATTAAGTTTTGTAAAATTAGAAATTTTGGATTTTTTTAGCCAAAATGTTTTTATAATACTAGAAGAAAATCACAATTTAGCAGTTTCCAATTAAGGGACCATCTACTAATTATATACTAGATCCATGTAAATCACCTTACCTACAATATTCATTGGCTGCCATATTTTAAAATTTTTCCATGATTTAATTTGAAATTGTTATGAGGGGTTGGTTCAGTATTGAAAAAATTATGATGAAAAATGCTAGAACTTTCTGTTCTAAATAAATGAACTTTTATTACACTTAAGTGAACTATTTATGCTTCTTTTAGTTTGCCATTCAAATTTTTAAAAGTAGTTTAGTATTTGTTTACTGCTTCAAAAGGTATCTTGATTTTGCCTTTAATTTTTTCTTTGGCCAGCTATGAAGCCTGTGGCCCCCTCACATTGCTTAATTATTCTTATGCATTGCTTGTTTAATTTTTTTAAAAAAACATCACATTGCTTATTTAATTTTTAGAAAAAGGTGATGTTAAAAGAATAACATACTCTTAAAAAAAATAGTGTTATGATAAAAGTCCTGTTTAAAGGAAAGTTAATAATAAGGATACAGACAAACAGAAAAAAAAGCTCTTATTTGTTAAAATATAACTAATGTTGAAAATCAGATTTGCTTGCTACTGGTTACATGTCTTACCATACACAAAAAAGTGGCAATATAAGACAATTGTCTTATCAAAGCAGCTCTGTAAAAATGCACCGCTATATTTAAAACAGAAAAATTTTTGAAAAGTAACGTAATTGACTTGCCTGAATATAGTTTAAAAAAAGAAATCAGTAATACAAAACTTGTGGTTCAGTGTAAAGTATTATAGTTACAATTCTTGAGATTTCACTTTTCAATTTGTCTTCCAGAACATAAATTTGCAAGTCTGTGAGTTTAAGAACTTGAAAAATCTATGTAAAAAGTATTTCTGATAACAGGGTTGTCATGATATTTACCTTTTAAGATTTTTACAGGCATTGACCATGGTTTTTACTGTCTTTGGATAAACCTGTTTTTCCCATGGTTTTTACCATCTATTTAAAAAAAAAAAAAAATTTCCATCCTGAGAATTTTTTTATTTCTGCTATTTCTATGAACATCTTAAAAGCGTGCATGATCATTTTAAAAACTAATGTTCTAAAAAATTTTGCAAGGTTCTAAATATTCTTCATCTCTAATAAAAAGTATTTTGATTTATCTTTTTTTTTTCTTATATTTTTTTCTCTGTTTTGTCACTACTGTAGTACTCTGTTTTGTGACATTATTTAATTCTCTTTATAATCCAAAATTCTGCTTAATTAAGATTTTTGGTTATTTTCTGTTTATAAATGCAGCTCTAATAACATTACGGTATACAATTACCTAATACAATAATGTTATTTATTGATATGATTTTAATATGTAATGAATTGTTATTAGCTTAAAATTAAAAATTTCATGTATCAAGAGTTTTTAATTACTGAGAAGTGTTGCTCAACCTGGTTTTATGAAAAAATTTTTTGACAATTGCAATTTAGGAGATACATTACGTCATACTTACTTGTCCAATGGCTTGTAACTTGCTGTTATTTACGTATATATATTAACATATATTATCTAGTAATTGCTAACATTTGCTATGGTTTTTACCAGTAAAAACCTAGTGTTTGCCATGTCCTCGTAAAAACTAGTTTTTCCCTGGTAGAAACCCAACTCGGTCTTTTATAATGTATATAAGAAAGAGAAAAAATTAAATTTTTAATTTTTCTTTTATATAAACTCATGTTTGTGAAAATTGCAACACCATGAAGGAATTACGCGAGTGAGCTGAAATTTTCAGGAAATGCAAATTAGAGCATGATATGCAAATGATTAGAATTTCAGACCCGTAGCGCATGCGTATGCAGAGCAGCGCCCTCTGAACGACGGATGGATCCGAATAAATAGACGGCTGTAGTCAAGCGAGTGTGGTTATTGGTGGTTATCTGCTAGTGGTAAATGTCAGCTTAGTCATTACTTATGCCTATTCGACGAAAGAGAGCGAGATTTCATCAACTTACAGAGTTTGAAAGGGGGAGAATCATCGGCCTTCGTGAAGCTGGATTGTCTTATCGTGCAGTAGCAGCTCGTGTGCAGCGTAACAGCAGCACAGTGATGCGTGTTTGAAAGCAGTGGACGGACGAGTGCTATATAACTCGGAAATCCGGGAGTGGACCCCGAAATGTCACGTCAGCTCGCGATGATAGACACCTGGTTCGCATGGCTCTGACAGATCGTACGGCTCCATCTAGACAACTGGCAGCACAGTGGTCAATAGCTACAGGTGTTTCATTGAGTGCTTCATCAATTCGTAGTCGTCAACTGCAGCGTGAACTGCGCGCAAGGACTCCTTTATACAGGATCACCATCACGCTAAACCATACCGGACTGGGGCTACACTGGGCCAATTAGCATAGAGACTGGTGTGCTGATTGGCAGCGTATCGTGTTTTCTGACGAATTCCGCTTTAATTTGTGGTACCATGATAGCCGGATTCGTGTCAGACGCTATGCCGGTGAACGACACCTTCCGGAGTGCATTATCAAACGCCACAGTGAACGAACACCCGGAGTTATGGTCTGGGGTGCCATAGCATATCATGGACGATNCATGATTATCGTATAGAATGAGCAGCATTAGCTTTATCATACACTCTGTAATTGTTAAACAGGTATGTGATTGTGGTACAGTCTTTAGCTATTGACACAAAACATTTAAGGGTATTTTATAGTATATTTAATCCTCAGTGCACTATGATGAAATTTTGACATACCGATTGAAATCATCAAATCAAAATCTACAGATATTTTTATTTTGTATGTGTGTGTGTTTAAATGCATTAAATGGGTTTTTCAAAGCTCTTGTCTTTGCCTTGCTTTAATATTTTAAGATATTTTTAAAACTTGCTCTTGTTTTTTTTNATTATACAGTTATTTTGTATTTGACTGTATTCTTTATAAATCTGGATAATCTGAACAATCATTGCATAAAACTATAATGAGGTTTATTTCCCTGAATTTCAGCTAAGAAACAATTACTTCTGGTATTAATCAAATAAAGCAAAAAAGGAGTAACAAATTAAGAAGTAACTTTACGCTTGTTTTAGAAGTAGCTTGTTGTACCTTGAAATATTAAGCAGCAGTTCCTGCATGCTTGTTAAATACTCATTACACAAAACAAAAGTTTGCTATTTATTGTGAAACAATGATTAGTTGTAAAATTAGTTAATTTTTTTGTGGGTGTGAAAAATAAAGTAAGACGAAAAGTATATTTTCTGTTGGTATATTTAATCTACTACCTTTCGATAATTTTCGTTAAAAGATGTAACATTATTTTTTAAAAGTGCCCTTTTATCATTAGCAATAAATTTAATTTAAAAAAAAAACTCATTTTTGTTGTATATTTCTCAGACTGGTTAACATTAGTTCACATTATTTAGATGAATTATTAATAGTAAGTTTGAAATGGTTTAATTGTATTTCATAACAGATATTTATAAAAACATATTTACCTCATCCTTTTTATTTCTGGTCATTTAAAGGATAAAATAATTTATTTAATTAGCTTATGAACTCTTACTGTAAGTTTTCAATTGTCAATTTTGTCGGTCTGTATTTTTAAAGGAATATTTGTTCAAAAAAGTTTTTGAAATGAGGTGTGTTTGGTTTAGAAATATTTACATGCATAAAATAGAATAATTAATATTACATGCAGAAAATAAAATTATTTATTCTTTAATATTACTTAGTGTGAAATATTTATTATCACTGAAATAAGACTTAATTTAGTGGAATAAACATAAAGTTATCTTCAGGATATATTTAATATTTGAAATGTTGATGAAATTACAAAATCAAATTTCTTGATGGAATTAATAGAAGTTATTTTCTTATTTTTTGCTATATTTGATTTTTTCAATATTTTTTTTTTACTTAAAATTATTTTAGGTTTCAGCTGAGGTTTGACTCTTTAGAGGTGTATGAAAATGAAGAAAAGACAAGGTACTTTTTTTTCTTTCTTTTTTGCTACTCTTGATGTTTAACCGCTTTATGATATGTTTTAGAAACATATAAAGAACCCATCTAGTAAAATAAGCATAGACCTATGTAAACTTGTATGTTAAGTGTGAAAACACTCAAATTTAAATGTTCTTGGTTTGTAATTTATCCTTAATGTTAAGGTATCTATAAATTGAATTATGTATATGGTATTATAGCAAAATATTTTGCTTGGAATATAAGTTTAAAAAAGAGGGATTTTTTTTATTTTATTTCTTTTGTTGAAAAAATCGTTCATCACTATTCGTAGTAAAGCAACTTTAAAATAATATACTAACACGATTTAAAAAATCCATCGTGATTCTTGTAAGAACTAAGATAAGTTCCCATAAAGGTGTGATATTCATCACTGGTGAGTAATTTAATTAAAATTCTTATTTTTTTAAAAATATTATGTTTAAATGTGTGGTATATAAATTGATATATTGATTTTTTGCACATTAAACTTTCAGAGTTTTTCATTTTGCTTTTATGCTTTTTTATATTATACTTCTGGAAAAAGAACAGTTAGAAATGTTTTATTTAGTATGTATAAAAATATCAAATTAGACTGACGTTTCGTTGAAAAGTACTGCCACTGAGAAAAGAGAAGAAAAAAAATTAGGCCATCGGGGAAATTTCTAAATACTGATATTCACACTGAAATATAAATTTTTGTTAACTGTTTTTGTTTTTTTACTTTTAGGACCTTTTTAGGATTAAAAATTCATTATGGACATGATGCTTTGACAAAATTGGTGGAAAGAGTTGATTCATGTCTTGCCGAGTTTCAGTTGCCCTGTTTTTATGAGGTGAACTCATTTCGGTTAATTATTAATTTTTTTTTTTTATGATGAAGTTATTAGTATGAATAAGTATTAGAGAAAACTTATTAGTAAATGAAAATTTAAAAAAGAAAAATGTTCTTATAGATATTATAAATTTGAAAATAAAAAAAAGCTGAATTAAAAAATAAAAATTTTAAGCTCTTAAGATTGTTAGAAACCTTTTAATTTTTCGCAGTAATTCATTCTCATGAAACTCAAATAAAATGGATAGTTTATATAAAGTTTGATGGCTTTGCACATAAACCTTATTCTTTGTGCTTACTTCATTGCTTAACAATTTTCCACAGTGCAAAGTCTCTCAAAACAAGAATTGGAAAATATTGCTGGAAAATCTAAAATTATCATTGAGAAAAACTGCCAGGTTATAACTGCTGTCAGGAACACCCTTTTTGATCTAGTTTTTGACGATTTTCAAAAATCCGTAATTTTAGTGTGCTGAATAATTATTACCTATTTTGAATATGAAGTTATTACAAATAAAGTACAGCTAAAATTACAACCTATCATTCTATTATGTTCTTTATTTATTTTGACATTTACCCTCCTCCTCCCCCTTTTTAAAGGAAAACTTTTGTCAAAATTTAAAAGTTTTTAAGAAAATCATAATTTATTATGAGTATTATTTGTTTTGCATAATCAAATTTATTCTCATTGCACTAAATATTGATATACTGAAATAAACACTTGAATTGATTGTTTGAAAAATATTATTTTATCAAACATTCATATTTTCTTTTTGTACATTATAATTAATTTATCTATTAAGGAATATATTTTAATTATGATTTTTGTTTGCTAATGTATGTAACATATGAACATTAACTACAAATATTGAGTATCTAAAAGAAAGTTCAGATAAATGATCAGTTGCCCATTTCAGTTTTATTTAAGCAAAAAAAATCTCTAGATTGTGGCATAAATGAAATAAAATCGCTAGTTAGATTTATCACAGTTAACAAATTATTTATATAATAAAATGCTTGGTTATAATATGTCAAATAAGAAGGATCTTAAAATGTAAATAGTACCATGTAAAGCAGTCTTGTTTTTGACAAAAAAAAAGTCTGGATTAGCATATTCTCCAGTTTATCTGCCTTTTATTTTTTTTGCATTTATCATGCCTTACAAATTCTGTTAGTATGGGTGATAGGCTGCCAATACATAAATGATGAGTGATAGGCTGCCTTTAATACTTTCGCTACCGGAACACCCTTAACGTCTCTAGAACTAGACTGCCGAAAACACCAGTGAAACTAGTTGGATTCTTTCCCCTTTTAGAAAAATGATGCACAATGAGGGTGATAATTAAGGATCAGAATCTTATTCTGTCAGCAGAAAATCTTCAAAATGGTGGCACTATTATTTTTTTTCCCTTTGCAATCAACACTGCCATCAATAATGGATTTACTTTGAAAAATACATTAGAATGATTTAAGAGTAAAAATTCTCTATCATTTTTAAAATGAACTCATTCACAACTTAGAAATAAGTCATAGGATACAATGCAAACGTCCCTTTTTAGATTACTCACCCACTTCAGCTAATCTTGTGCAAATGAAGAAAGATTGACGGTAGTAAGAGAATCTACATGAAATGTAAGCATATGAATGAAAGAACTCTTTCAGAAAAAAGCAATTGGGAATGTGAGACTTATAAAATGTGACTCTGTAAATCATGTTTTGTTTGATTAATATATTTCTTAGTTTGTTAAAAATATATATATATCTAAAAGATAAAGAATTTAAGATAGACACATGGTGTGTAGCATTTGTAAAAAGTGCTTAAAGGTGCTTGTTTTCGATTTTTGTTATTTAAAAGCCCTTAAAGGTGCTTTTTTCATTGGGTGTTTTTAAAAAGTGCTTAATTTTCCTTTTCCAAAATTAGAATTTTTTTTTTCCTTTACCGTGTCGATTTAGCTATATGCTTTGTCTTTAAGTCAAATATTTTGTTAATCATGAATATTGTTCATAACAGTTAATTTCATATTTTGACTTTATAAGGTATAAATGATAAGTTATTGTTCATAAATATAGATGTATCTGAACTGCCCAGACATTATTTGAAAATATCAGAAATTTACCTCAATATTGCTAGATTAATTTATTTTATATTGTGAATTAATAATATTCTGCATGACTTATGATGTGTGTAAAATGGCACTATTAAACAATTCAACAATCAATGCAGTTTTGTTTTCATTGACACTGTTAAAGAGCATGTTTATTTGTCTCTTAATTATTTTTACATCTATTTTGAATATCACATTGTATTTAAGTTAAAAGTTTGTTTTTTTCCCCCTTCTAATAATATGTTTATATTAGTAAATAAATTGTAGCAAAATAGAAAAGAGGTAATATGCTCTTTTTTTTTCTTTTCAAATATTTCAAAATAAGTTAAACGATTTAGATTATTTAAAAGAGTCTTATAACAAATAAATTTATTATTATTCATTTTAATTTTAGAAAAATTTTCAGCACACCAAACCGAAAGTCACATAAAAATGTAGTTTATAAGTAAATAATTTGTTTAAAAACATTTGTACTTTTTGATTTCTTAAAATTTGTATAGAATATTATACTTAAAATATTACTGTTAAAATAGTTCTTTTAGAATTGTTTAAAATTTTTTGTACAAGTTTACAAAATCTTTTAAGATGCCGCGCTAGAGGGAATATTATTTACAACTGAAAATTTCATTGAAATGAATTAAGTGCAGGTTAATGTGAAAAGTGTTTTTTTATGCATTGAGGTCAAGTGAACAGTTTCTGGGGGTAATATTTTTAGCTTTTTCACAGCTTTATTAAAGAATAAGAAAAGTTTCTCTTATTTTCAAATTATAGAATGATATAAAATGAGACAAATTTAAGTGGAATGAATATTTTTAATGCTATCACCAAATTAATATCTCCTTAATGACTGATGTTAATTTTAAATTTTGGTTTGTACGAAATTTTATTTTGCAATCATTTAAGTTATTGAATTATATTAGTTTTTATTTTACAACAAATAAAACAATTTTATTATCATTTTTCATTTGAATGCTTCATTTAGAAATTGTATAACTGGCTTGCGTGGTTAATTTTCCATATAAATAACAAAATTTTTAAAATAAAAGAAAGCATTTATTAACATTTTATAAATCTTATGTTTGGGATATTCTTGCTTCCAACAATGTTTTCTTTTTGAACACCTCTTTTGGGGATATTTCCCCAGGTGAATAAGATGATCACTTATTCTTAAGCAAAACTGGAGGTGGGAACTTTTTGCTATCTGATTTCCAACTTCGGGCGTTTACGGTATTCTAGGCAAGTTGCGGTTTTACGCGCTCAGTATTTAAAGCGTTAAGCTATTTTATCCCATTTAAACGTTCACTTTAAATTGTTCATTCTAATGTTGGCTGTTCCCTTTCGTGAGAATCATTTGGCCAATAGGTGTAAAGTATTATTTAGCTTTCAAGACAGAATGTTTCCATTGACAATAAAAAATTTGATTTAGCAAAAGTTTCAAGGCAATCATGTTAACAATTTTTCTTTGCTATTATCACTTTAAATTTGAAATATTTTTATTCCCTTTAAATAAAGGAAGACAAAGCTACAAAACAGTTTCATCCTCGTTTCGATATTCTTTTTATTAAATTTTTAAGTCTAGTTTAGCATGTTTTAGTTATGAGTGAATATTTGATATTTTTGTCCAATAAAATTTTTTTAATGAACCCTTTAAATGTTTGTTATTGTTTAGAAGTGGGGTCGTTATATCTCACATCAACTGTATTAAACCTTTTGTTCTCTGCGGATTAAAGTAGCAGTTCCATGCTCTAAATCCTTATGTACCTGATAACGAAATTACCGAATGTATCGTCATAAAACCAATTTTGCATGTGACCGCAATGCTGTCAGAAAGAAATTATTATTGTATAAATTCAGCCTGATCTGACATGCGCAAAATCTGCTTATATATGATCTTAAACATAAAATTTCATGTTAAATAAGAATTTTATTTAATGGTACTAAGCAAAATGAAGTAAATCTTTTACAGATGCATGTTAATTAAGTAAAATCTTTGTTCTTAGACAAGTTCTATCAAATTCTACTTTTTTAATGTTTATCGGAAAAAAAGATTAGGGATGTTTTAAAAATGAGTTTCAGCAACTTTCTTTACCCTTTAAAGATGCTGCTGGAAAATTAAATGTGTTATCTTATTGCCCCGTGGCAGAATCACAGCGACATTGTCGCAGACCTTTGCAGATTTCTTGCAGAAAGAGTTCTCTTTTGAAAAGTAAAAAAAATTATTTTTCTCTTCTACAGAATATTATACATAATATTTGAATCATACATCTAGATAATAACTTTTGGACTTGCTCAATTTACGTCGATAGTAACGTAAGTGCGTGTAATGTTTCGATTGTGTTTTTGGCAGTTATTAATATTGATTTTCAAATGGATGTTAAATATCCCGATATATTTCAAACAATATGGTAAATTAGAATTGTGCATTTGAGTATTTACATTTTAAGGCAATAATTCTATTGAACTTTTGGCAGTTATTGCTATTGATTTCTCCATAATTTTTAAATCCGAAATTTTTTACGTTATTATTGATTACAACCTAGTCCTGAAACGAAACACGCATTTGAGGAGCCGACTCGCGTGATCTTGTCGTAGATCTTTTTTTCGTAATTACTACTACTTTGTTCATGATTAGGTATTTTTTAATTGTATTGATTATTTACAAAATGCGACAAAGGAAATAATTTGTGCTCCCCCCTCTCACGGAAAGAAATGCGAGGCGAGACTGTCACCCATAATAATAATAAAGAATACATGTTAAATAACGAAAAAAAGGTTTTATTTTTAAACACAGCGCTTTTGTTATTTTGAATTAGTAATATACAGTACAGAACCCGTTATCCGGAACCCAGAAAACCAAAAAACCGGAACGATATTCGATAAATTTTCTCGCCATTTTTAAAAAAAAAAAAAAAATTTCCTCATAAGATTTTATGATTTTTCTTTCTTTTTTTAAAGATGTTTACCTTACCAACATTTTGGAAATAATCATTAGTGTATTACTACATCGTTTTTTCTTACTTTTAAGATTATTTCCAATTTTTTTTTTAGTTGTGTTTAACAATAAAAAAAAAACGGCTTTTTGTAGCGATTCAGAAAACCGGAAAAATCAGTTATCCGAAACAGCGTTGGTCCCAACCGTTCCGGATAATCGGTTCCCTACTGTATATATATGTTTGTTATTATTCAAACTATCTTGCAGAAGGATATTAGTGCTAGAGAGTTTTGTCACAGATAGCGCATAAAAAGTCTGCCACTGCGTCTCATTGTTTCTAAATCTCTGTATTTTAATTTTACAGGAACCATCTTTTCATCTCAGCTTTGCATCCTGTGTGGGTAGTAAGTCACAAATTATAGAATCCTTTCTGGCAAATCTGAATGTGAGTAAATATATTTTTTGTTTTATTTGTGTTAAATATGTTATTTATGTTCTATGTTTAAAATAAAGGTTATGAAATAAGAAATATACTTTTATTCTATTAAAACAACTTGAATGTTTTATTAGAGAATTTATCATTTTCAAATTTAATTTTTTTTCCTGTTATAAAAGTATGTGTTGTGTTTAACAAATATTTGCATTAGCATTATTTCAAAGTTTGTGGTGGAGATTAACCCTTTGACAGTTAAGGAAATGAGCAGTTTTCGTTCACTTAATTCGCGCAGTATTACGTGTAAACAGTAGTCGAAAGTGGCAGCTGTTTTCCCCCACTGTTCTTCCGAAAATGTCACCCTTCTCTGGCAATGCCGTAGATGGCTCGCCTCACGCATTTTAAAAATTTCCTAAAGTATTTGTAGTACATAAATAACAGTTTTTATGTACTTTAAAATGATTATTAAATAGTAAATATTAAATTGAAAGGACTAAATAAATATAACTAATGTAAAACTTTTTGAAGCATTTAAATATAGTAATTAAATAAAAATCTTTAACAATCATAATCATCATCATATTTATCTAACTTTCGCTTTGAGCCATTTTACTTTACAAACACCTAAAATATATCGAATGGCAACTCTTTCTAGAACCTGGAAAACAAGAAATTTTTGGTGAAATTGGCATTCAAAACTAGAAGTTCTTTAAGTATTATTAATAGCAGTATTATGATGCAAGACATCACCACACGTGTCATTTTATTGTTTCAGTTAACTAATTTATAGAATTAAAACAAATGAAATTTTAAGTCATAATGGTTGTATAATTTTTGTAGCAGTGTGGCTACTTTTCATATTTATATTAATTTTTTTTTTCTTTTTCAGATAGTGTTTCAGGTATTTGTGAAAAATAATCCTTGCTTTAGAACATTGAATGTTACTAAAATTCACTGTAAGAGTGGGAATAAACTTTTCACTACAAGTTTAAAAACTTGACATTTTGAAATTAAGATGTATCAATAATTTATTTATAAATAAAGTTATTTTTGTGTTTTAAAATTTGTCTGTCTTATATTTATTCATATTTTTATGGTAGTTATATATCATATCTTTAATGATGCAAAGGTGTGACAACATAAAACAAACTCTTGAAATCTGTATATATATATACAATATATAACATTTGCAAACATCTCACTTGTTTAATTAGTTGCACTTCTAACATAACTGTTTCATAGCTGATTAAAAGGATATATTTCATTGGGCTTCAGTAAAATGCAAGTAATCAGTAGTATACACCTGTCTATTTTATATTCAAAATCAGTATTTGTTACAATACTGTCCTTGTCTAAGAAGATAGTGGTGTCTTGGCTTCACTTTCGTTCCAAGATTTCAGAAATTAGTTTATTTCTCTGGGGTTTACCGTAAAGACATGAATTCCTCAAACTTGGAGCACCTTATTGATGGTCGGTTGGTGTCATGTCATGGACAGAAAATAATTTTAAATGTGATCAAAGATCCTATATACAACATCTGTAATTTGAAAGCAATTTTCTTCGCACCTTATTGATCTTTTCAGTTCGTAAAATTTGGTGTCAAACATTGATTCCTTATCTTCAACGTGTAATTCTGATTGGCTTTCATTCATCAAAAAAATTTGGTTCAGGCATTAAAAGTTCTTTCATTAAAATTCCAAAAAATTTTTCCCCCACAGTTTAGATTATTCTGGAATGTGTGGACATGTCTGGAAAACAACCTATGAAGTTATTGATGACAGTAAATAATCTCAGTGACATCTATTCATGTTATTTCTTTAAAGGATGACACATTTCGATAGAATTTTTAATACAATATCTTCATTTAGTTATATGTTTCTAACAAATTTTTGTACTTGTAAAAACAACTTTTTAAATGTGAAAGTATCAAAAAAGAATGTGATAATGCAGTGACTAGTTTTTTTTCCCGAAATTACTTCAATTTTTTTATGTGGTAATTATCTAAATTAAGGAAATTTGAATCAATAAGTTGAAACGTCCTCAAGGGGTTTACCTTCGGGTAAACACGGGTGTCACAATCCCGAGGTGCCCTAGTGACTTCTGCGTTTCAATATTTGCTGAATAAAATTTTTTTTAACCAAGACACGGGCAAGTGTCTTCTGAAAGAGTTTACCTTCTGCAAAACACAAGTGTTTTAGAAACTTTACTTTTTAACTAACATTTTGTAAAAAAATTGATTTCTCAAAAGTGCCTTTAATCTGAAATGAATATGGAATTCTTTCATGTGAAAAGCCTTAATGCAAAACAATACCTCCATAATAACTTGGGGTATGTATACAACTGGCTGCTAATGAATTTTTACCTTGCAAAATCTTTGAATTAAAAGCATCAATAACACTGTCATATAACCAACCCCTTTGAAAAATTTATTAAGATTCTACTAAGTATCGACCTCTGCTTTAGACACAAATGAATCTAGACTTAATTTCGTAAAAACGCAGCGGTATTTCACATACACTTAACATTACTTCATTTTGGGTGAGAATAAACCTGTCAGTTTCCTGCAGACTGTCTTTATTATCAACGAAGAAAATTTTCTTCTAAACAACCGAGCTTGAGCGAATATCTGAAAGTTATTAAAATAGTCAATGAGTTTTCGTTTAGGCTTCCTAGATTCACTAACTCTCTTAAAAACTAATTATTTTGTCAAATACAATTTTAATAAAATATTTAATGTAAGAGAAAACTGCACACATCCCATGAAACAATTTTCTTAAGCTGTTATTAATGTACGGCTAAATGGTGTTTTGAACATCTTTATCTTGGACTGTTTTCCTTCATCTTAGTTACCATACCTGTATAAGGCTTATCTGTTTGCTACATCCCTTACTCTTGCATTATTATCCTTTTAATCGTGCTCGTGTAGAAATTCTCTTCATTTATGCGGTAATCTATAGAATGTACTTCATGAATATGTTTACAAATAGGATAATTGGCCGTCCACCCCCATTTATGCATACAAAGTTTCAAACAGGGTACTCGGTAAAATATCTTCTGACATATTATCCTTGTATTTGTGCCACAGGTTACATCGGTTTGATGGAAAACATGTCGAAATTATGATAGCGAATAATGTGCGTATTTGACTTGGAGATGCAGAGATAATGGCTTCAGCGATTGTCGTATCCCAATGACTATCGTTTTCTAATAACTTCAATTCTTCACATGCAGCACGATATGTTGGGAATATTACACCATTAACAGTTCGTAGTGACTCAAATGACGTTGGCCCACGCACATTTACCAGCAACAACCGCAAATAGAAACATTCATTATTCTTTGGATGAACTGTATACATACGACCAAGAGCATCAGTAGAACGCACATCTGGATACCCAGGAACCGCATCGCCTTGCTTCCGTCTTTGAAANCGGTTCAGCCGTTCTTGAGTTATAAGTGAAGTAACTAACACGACTTTCTTTTATATATATAGATATAAATGGTGGCAGCGGTGGGATTAACAACAGCCACAGCAATAACTGCAGGGACATCGGAGTCATCCCCAGATAAGTCGATGACGTCCGGGTCGGGATTCACATCATCATCTTCATCATCATCAGCGACTACAGCAGCAGCCACCTGTTGTTGCTCAAGTATCTCATGTAACTCTAGACGTCTCTCTTCCTCTCGAGACAGGAGATGCTCCATCTCTTCATTTTTTTGCTGGAGATCGTAGTTCTCGAGATGTGCAGCATTCAGCCTTTCAACAAGATGTTGTCGTATCATGCCAACATTGGGATTTTCGTGAGCACGTCACCTTGCTCCAATCAATGACAGCCTTGCCATCCTCCGGTCCGTTTCTCTCTGGATCCGGGCATTTCTTCTTCTCAAGGAAGAACTTTCCCTTACATCAAGACTCCTTTGTGGATCCATATCAAAATTCCGCCTACCAGGCCGGCGACGCAATCTTTGCTCCTTGTAGCATATCGACGGGTCGACAGCACGCAATCTTTTAGCTATTGGAGCATCATCATTTTTTTGCTGATCTGTCAGCTTGGCAGCAAATGATGCGTTATTGAGCATCTCAACATGATAGATTTGTGATTTTTCAGTTCTTCCTGGCATTTTTACAATATAATTAGTGTCCGAAAGTTGGCTTTCTATAATTCCAGGACCTATCCAATTTACGGATAACTTATTTGGTTTAGCTGCCGCAATTACAAGAACTTCATTTCCGGGTTTAAATGTCCTCTTCACCGAACCTCGGTCGTACCAGCGTTTCCTTTTTTCTTGCATATCCGACATGCGTTCAGCGGCGAGATCATGACATCTTTTATAACGAGTTCAATATTTGCCAGAGGCAGGCATCGAAACGAGTTTTCAAGCGGTTGCTTCTCCCATATAACTTCACCATTTAACTGATCGGGTTTTATAAATTTATTCGAAGTTAAATCGATATTTGATCCCGAATCGCGTAGAACGGTCATTTCTGTACCGTTCACAATTGCTTCACTTAAATAAGGGGCAAAAGATGGTCCGAACTCATTTGTTTCGAGTTTATTGATTCTTTCGAATTTGTTTTTCTTCAATTCCGGGCACTGAGGCCTAAGGTGATCCGTAGATTTGCACTCGTAACATGCGGGTTTGCGCCGTTCTTCAAAGAATTTAGTTCTATTTTCTCTTGAATTTGGATAGCTTCTATCCCTCCAATTTAATTCTTTATCTCTTTGATCTTTAGATTCAGGCCGATTTTTTTCTACTTCTCTAAGTTTTTCATTCCATTTTTTTATGGGACTTTTATGAGTTATATTTTTGCGTAATGGTTTTCTAACGGCTTCATATTCATCAAGTTTATTAGCTGGAGATTCTGGGTCAATAAACTTTACCCAGGAATCTATTAGACCCTCTTTAATTTCTCCGGAGACTCGCCTTTTGATTTGATCTGTTATCATAAGTTTTTTCAGGGCTTCAAAATCCGTAATTTGAACACCCTCCAACCAACCTTCGAGGTAACTCCGTAATTCGAATATTAAATCCTTCTACAACGCTCCGGCTCGACGGACCAATTTATATATATATATAAGAGTATATAAGCTGTAACGATTTCGTTACTTGTTCAGTGTGAACTAAAACTCTTATAAAAAACAAACAAAACTTTTGATAAAGTTTTCTGAGTAAATATTGTATGTACAAGGTTGTATTACAATTATATACACCGTTATTTACAATTATCATCACTTCTACCGAACACAAAATTATGTAATAAAAAGTTCTCAAATCGAGACGGCACAGGGTCCGCTCAGGATGCTTCGTCTCACCAGACTGCCTGTCGCCTCTGTTACAGAGTCCAGTCCTTCTCCTCTTTTTGCAGGTGCATCGAGTTCTTAGAATTTCGTGGGGAGACACCGGATGCCAGAGGGGAATGTACTCGGGGTCAGCTGTCCAAGATGTTACAATGTATATATCTCTTTCCTCAGAGCTATATCAGACACAGAAGAACTTCATGTGATTCAGCTACTGAAACAATTTTAAATTTACAATATTAAAAAAAATTAGATAATGCTGCATATCTTAATTTATTACACTCTACTCGTTAGTATCAGTAAATTTTATTCATATATTCTTCATTGTTGAATGCCGTAGTGAACCTCCCCCTAGGCCCTGCCAGTGCCCTATTTTTGGTCCGTAAACAGGGGCTAGGAATTAGTTCCCCTTACAAAAGCATCAAAAAAATTCAAGTAAATAAACCTGTGAATAATGATAAGCTTGTGCAGATATCTCTTACTCGGCTCTTATACTTTTCTTTTGTAAGAGAGATACAATTTTTTTGTAGCTGATAGTGGCCATTAGTCGTGATTGTTTTGATGGAATATAAGTTTAAAAATACTCCACAATTGCATCCCACTGCTACAGAACTCGTATATGCAGCAAGTTCGAGAATGAGCCACCTTGAAGTCATATGCTTAAGAAAATGCAAGTTTGGCACTTTCTTCTTAATCTGGATGTTAGAAAAGTCTTCCCAGCGGGCCGGCCAGTCTTGGAAGCTTACATCAATCAGCCCTT